GCACTAGACCGGAATTTCCTTTGCTGATTCAGAGTATAATACCGGTCGCTTACTGCACCAATTTCGTAGTTAGTTAAGCACCCTCTCGGTGATCATTATCAAAGTTACGCCTCTTGTCGATGTATACTTGATTTGATTTTACCGGAATTATATTTTGAACCAGCAACCTCGTGAGTTAACGATCACAACTTATCAGGTTGTGAGTACATTATCTTCACGGAAGCGGTTTTTAGTCGTCCGTCCCACCTAACGATGATTTGTTAAGTGGAGGATGCCTTTTTCAATAATCGATTTTGTAACCGATAACTTGTATATATTTACTGTTGATATTGCTGTTATTAACATTAGTTTTTTAGCTTACAAAATAACTTCACACTTCTTACACATAATATTTTTTTAGTAATGTAGTGTTCCAAACATTTTTCGATGGTTTTCCATCCATTGTCTCTAAGTAAAATGATCCTTGCATCACCATGTCTCTTATCCGGTATGGCCTTCCCAATTTCTCGTCAACTTTCCATCTTCACTACCTTTTCCTGTGGCCGCTGTTCTTCGCAGCACTAAATCGCCTTTACTCAAAGGTCGATATGCAACTCCTTTGTTATATGCCCTTGACATTCTGTATTTGTAGGCGGCTGACTTGACTGCTGCTTTCTCCCATATTTCAGGGAGAAAATCTAGTTGTTGTCGTAATAACAAATCATTCTAATCTTCACAGTAATGCTGAATTCTGAATGTCGGCAACCCTACTTCCGCTGGTACCACCGCTTCTGTTCCAAATACTAATGTGAATGGTGACTCTCCTGTTGCTTCTTTCACTGTCGTTCTATTTGCCCATAAAATTTCTGGTATCAAATCAGCCCACAAACCCTTTGCATCCTCTATCTTCTTCTTGATTGCTGCTATAATTTGCTTGTTTGTCGATTCTGCCTGGCTGTTTGATTGTGGGTGGCATCCTGCTGCATATGCAAACTTCACCTTATACATGGACAATAAATCCTTTACTGGTTTGCAGTCAAATTGAGATCCATGATAAAAAACCATTGTCATTGGTAACCCGAATCTTGTGAAAATATTTTTCCACATAAATTTTTTCACCTCCGATGCTGTTATCTTTGCTACTGGCTCCGCCTCTATCCATTTTGTAAAATAATCCACCCCCACTATGAGAAACTTCCTTCCGCCTGTTGCCGAGGGAAACGACCCTACTATATCCATTCCCCATTGTGCGAAAGGGATTGGATTGAGTATTGGCATTAAATCATTGGGCGGCAAATTGATAGCGGGTGCAAATTTCTGACATTTCTCACATTTCTTCACATACTTAACAGCATCTTCATTCATTGTCAGCTAGTAGTACCCCCTTCTCATTGCTTCTCGCGACAGTGCTCTTGCTCCAAGATGATTTCCACAAGTTCCTTTATGTATCTCCTCAATCAACTTGATAGATTCAAGATCTGTTATGTACCTTTGTAACGGTAATGAAAATCCTCTCTTGTACAGATGGCCTTGATGCATTATAAACCACACACTATCCCTGCGCAGTTTTCTTGATTCTTCCTTATTAGGGGGTAAAGCTCCATACAGTAAATATGCCAGTATTTTGTCAAACCACTGGATGCCACTATTGATACAGTACACTTGCTCTGATTTCCCTTCAATACTTCTGTGTTTTAATATCTCCACCATAACTGTTCTTTCCAAGTCATTGAAGCTTGAGCTGGCAAACCTTGCCAAGGCATCAGCCTGTGCATTCTATGCTCTCGGCACTAGCTTGATTTCAAAGTGTTGTAATTGTACTGATAATTGCTTCATCTTTTCAATATATTTTATCATTGTTGGCCCCTTGTTTCATACTCCCCAATATACTGGCTGGATACTAGCTGAGAATCGGTAGTCAAAATTATTCGCTTTGCTTCAGCCGCCATAGATAACTAGATTCCTGCTATGGCTGCTTCGTACTCAGCGTCATTGTTAGTGGCCTTGAACTTAAATTTGATCGCATATTCAAAAGTTTTTTCATTTGGGGTCGTTATCACTATCCCTCCCCCTGACCCAGTTGATGTTGCGGATCCATCTACTGATACCTGCCACATTGTAAGCTAATTGTAAGTATTTTACGCGTCTAATATTTTTGTATCTTAAAATTTTAACTTTAAAACTTATAATTGATTTTTATATCATAAATATTAGATTATAAACCACTGAAACCTGCCAAGTTCCCAATTCTTCTTCCTCATCATTGTATGAGGTTTCCACAATGAAGTCAGACAAGGCCTGTGCTTTTATTGAAACTTTGGGCTTATAATTTATCTCATACTCTGACAACTCCACAACCCACTTTAACATCCGACCTGATGTATCCATCTTGTGCAAAGACTTTTCCAACGGATGGTTTGTCAAGACATCTATCAGATGTGAACCAAAATACGGTCTCAACTTTCTAGCCGCTGTGACCACTGCCAATGCCATCTTTTCTATTATCGGATATCTGCGTTCAGTTGCACTTAGAACATGAATGACAAAATATACCGGCATTTGTAACTTCTTCCTTTCTATCAGCAACACTACAGCTATCGTCTTTGGAGAAGCCGAGATATATAGCTGTAGCAACTCCCCCTTTCTGGCCTTGCCATTGTTGGAAGAGATCTCAAATGGTTCCTTACCACTTCTAATGCATCCCTTTGCTCCTATTACCACTTCTAATGCTTTGTTCTTCCTTAAAGCCACAAAGAACGTAAGTGCTTTGTCAGCTGATTTACTGATGAATCAAGTTAACCCTGCCATCCTTCCGATTAACCTTTGTATATCTCGAATAGTTTTCGGTTGTTTCATCTCAAGCACTGCATTCACCTTATCGGGATTAGCATGTATTCCCCGTTCACTAACCATAAAACCTAAGAATTTCCCTGACCGAACTCCAAATACACATTTCTCTGGATTCAACTTCATCTGATATTTCCGCAATGTCTCAAATGTTTCCTTCAAATCAGCTATGTGATCCTTCTTTTCTCTACTTTTAACAATTGTATCATCTACATACACATCCAAATTTCGGCCTTTCTGCTTCTCAAAAGTTTTGTCAACTAACTTTTAATAAGTTGCTCCAGCGCTCTTTAACCCAAACGGCATTGCCTTATAACAATACACACCCACATCTGTTATGAAGGTCGTTTTTGGCCTATCTGCCTTATGAAGACTGACTTGATGATACCCCGATAAAGCATCCAAAAAACTGAGCATTGCATGGCCAGAAGTAGAGTCCACCAATATATCTATCCGAGGCAACGGATAACAATCCTTGGGACAAGCCCTATTCAAGTCGGTAAAGTCCACACACATTCGCCACTTCCCTGTTGGCTTTCTCACCATGAAAACATTTGCTAACCACTCTGGATATGTGCATGGCTCTATAAACCCCGTTGTTAAGAGCTTATTAACCTCTGCTTCTATGGTCTCTATCTTTTCAGTAGAAAATTTTTGTTTTTTCTGCCTTATGGGCCTAAACCTCTGTTAACATTCAACTTATGCTCCATTACCCCAGGGTGGATTCCTGGCATTTCACTTGCCGAGAAGGCGAATACATCGGCGTTCTCACGCAACAGACTTATTAGATGACACCTCATATCTACATCCTTATCTGCTCCAACTTTCACTGTTCGACTGGAATCTCCTGGCTGTAACTATATCTGCACCGTTTCACCTCCCGTCAACGGCATTGGAGTTGCTTCCGGCCTTGTATGAAAGTTGCTCATGGCCAGATCTCGTACCGTTGGTTCCAGCTCTTTCTTTGGATTACTTGTCACTGCATCCTCCCCAGATGGATTTTTCAAAGCCGTTACATAGCAAGATTTCGCCATTACCTGCCCTCCGTGAACCTTTTCAACAGCTCCTAAATTCGATACATAAGCTATCGTCAGATGGTATGTCGATACAACCGCTTGGACATCATGAATTATCAGTCTACTAATAATGGCATTATAAGCTGATGGGACATTGACCACTAAAAATTCTGCCATCATATCTCTCGTAATCGGCCCATCACTCAACCGTACCGGCAAAATTATGCTTCCTTCTGGTCTCACTGTCGATCCATTGAACCCAATGATCGGATAAGATACTTGCGTCAGATACTGCCTCCCAATCATCATTTCATTAAAAGCTCTCATGAACAAGACATTCGCAGAGCTGCCTCCATCCACCAGAACTCTCTTGACATCAGCTCCATTGATCTTTGTTATGAGCACTAGTGGGTCATCATGTGGGAATACAATACCCCTGGTGTCCTCTTCCGTAAATACAACATATGGGATTGAAGCTGGACGAGGGCGGTTGTTGGTATCCAGGGCATTGATGATGTGACGGTGCTCAGACAGATGTTTCTTAGCCCCACTAATTGTTCCTCCATGAACCGGCCCCCCAGTTATCACATCTACCCCTCTTCCTGTTGATAGGGGAGGCATTCCACCACCTCCTTGTCGGACCACTCCACCTTGTGACCTTTCCGGCCATGCCTCCAACTGATGTCTTTCTATCTGTCGGGGGGGGGGTGGTTGAGCTCCTCCCGCACTTAACCGATACCGAGTCAAGTGCCCTTTTCTTATCAATTCCTCAATATTATCCTTCAACTGCGTGCACTCTTCGGTATAATGACCCACATCTCTATGAAACATACAGTACTTCTTAACATCTCTTGGTCTTGCCTTCATCGGAATCGGCCTCGTCCAGCCTTCTTTATTCTGATTAACTGAATAAATTGCTGCTCTTGGTGTGTTCAAGGGCGTATATGAACTATACGGCATTGGCGGTTTTGTAATTCTGAACTCTTACTGATTTCCCCCTCCCCTTCCTGGGGTCGAAGTTCTCGGCCTTCCACTTCCAGAGGTTGCCCCTTCATATTGATATTGACCTTTGCCAGCAGCTACATTCTTACTACTCGTTTTCATCAATTCTTCACTTTTGATATAATCATGGGCTTTGTTAAAAGCAGCTGCCAAGGTCTAAAAATTCTTTCGCGTAAGGTAACGCTTAAACTCGGAATCATTTAAGCCATTCATCAATGCCATCACAGCTATCTCCTGTTGCAATTTCGGAATCGTACTCACCTCATTATTAAACCGTCTGATATGATCCCTTAAAGACACATCCCGCCTTTGCTCTACTGCCATTAACCCCCCTGAAGTTCTCTGCCGCACACTGTTACTAACATACTGCCCCACAAACATCTCGGTCAGCTTCTCGAAACTATCTATCATCCCATTTTCCAGGTTATTGAACCAATCGGCCGCGACCCCAATTAATTTAGTCGGAAAGACTTTGCACCAAACAACATCTGAGTTTGTGTACAACATCATATGCCCTTCGTATGACGTTATGAATCTACCCGGGTCTCCTCTTCCATCATACCTACAGGTCGGTATTTTAATTTTTTCCATCGGCTGGTTTAAGAGACTTTGCGCAAACGGCGATGCTCTTAATTGTACCACAGTTCGTGGTACCTGTCCTTCAACCTGAGAACTTCTATGCTGATGGGTTCTTGTAATAACAGTGCGACTCGACGACTGCCCCTCTATTTGACGCGGTGTGGTATGTGTTCTTACCAGCGTTTCTTCCCGGCGGTGCCTTGGTGAATTCGTTGCTTGATTTAACTGTTCACCATGATTGATTAACGGCACCCCCCTTCAGCCTGAGTTGTTTCAGCCTCTTTTCTTTTTTTACTCATTGCAGTCATTACTCTTGCTGCTACCTACAACTCTTCTGGTGTAAACTCCGCCATAGGGTCTACTATCGTCCCCACCTGCCTTTCCAGGGTTAACGACATGTGGAACTGGTTTTCTTCTAATGTATGTGTTTCGTCTTCAACCTCAATTTCTGGCTATGCTGTAATCGGTCGATTTACCGTTTTACTTATTATTGGTGTTGCATTATTTTCGGCCATAATTATTGTTATTTTGTGTGTTAGGTTCTTAGGCGATAGAAGTAATCACTATTGCCCCCTCCTAGCGCCAAATTGTTTCTGTCTGGATCCGATTACCCGAGAGACCGAACCCGAGAACTTGATACCCCTATCGGCAAGCTGAGAACCTACACAATGAGCATAAGTTAGCTAGCGCCGGGGTGATCCGGGGATAACCACTCTGATGATAAAGTTAGAATGTGTTTAAGAGAAGGTAAGTAAGAGAGAGAAAGTAGAGAGAGAAAGAGAGAGAGTAATAAATGCTTACCATTCAATGAAGCTTAATCTACTATTTATAATAAATTTCATGACATGTGGCTACAATGCATGCAAGGCTTTTCTCGCCAAGTGTCAATGATAAAAGTGCCACGTGCCAAGTATCGAAAAGTCAATATGGCCGATATGTCTGCTTTATGGAACATATCGGCGCTTGTCACATATCATCCCATACAATGTTTATATTATTGTGAGAGAAATCTTTTCAGTTTTATAGGTCTTTTGATTGTTGATAAAATTATACTTTTTTTTTTGATAAAATTATACTTTGTATTTACAAATTTATAGAAAATTTTGTCAAAAAATAACAATTTATAAATGAATTTATAAACTCGTTCAGTTTACTCGTGTTTTTGTATAGCATTCAACACCACCTAGCTAGGAATTCTCTCTGATAATTTACAAGAAAAGAGAATTATTTTTTTATATAAAACACAAATAAGAGACATATTTTCAATCCAATGCCCAAGCCACCCCTGCCTTTTTTCTTCTTCTTTTTTTTTTCCTTTTTGAACATTATAAAGCACACCAAATTACCAGACACTAGTTTGGAAAATGCATCTATTCTAGTAATTCGGATTACATACCAAGATAAGCCCCAAGGTTTTTCTTCGGATAAAAAAATCTGCGATCATTTAAGCACCTCTCCTTTTTGAGAGTTGCAAGAACATGGAAATGCATGCATCGTAATCTTATTTAATGCAGCAGCTTACATGTAAGAAAGCAAGAGTTTTCCATCTTTTTCCTGCCTAAATTATAATGCCAACCATTGCTAATTAGAGCAAATGGAAATGTTATATTTGTGGAAATTCGTGTGGCTTGCGTTATTTTTTTTTAGTTCTTCTAGTTTAAGTCTTAGGCAAAACTAATCTAATCTTATACTTCTTCCGTTCTATTAATATTGCAACAATGGACTTTTTGCACTATTCATCACTTTTTTGACCATATAATATGAGTTATACGTTAAACAAGATATAGTCAAGTGAGATCTTGTTGAATTCGTCTCATATAATACTTTCACAATATCAACTTTTTGTAATTTTTACTCTTACACAATTATAGATATTTAGCATATTAATTGTGTTTTGGGATGCATAATTTCCTCCTTATTGCAATATTAACAGAACGGAGGAAGTACTTCGTACTATCTATTCCCTCAAAAAAAAAAAAAAAAAAAAATTCTTATACAATTATACTCATTCAACTTTAGTTGATGATGAACAATATATTTAATTACCTCTAAACATCAGAAGGTCTCTTTTTGAGTATGAAATGCAACCATACCACCAGCCAATCAATTAGGAACGGAGAGCACCCCTCGCCTAACTCATGCAATACAGTATAGAGCAATATTCAATATCAAATTCTACAAAGAACTTGTCCGGGAAAATAAGTTAAGCTAACAACATTCTGTTTATTTTTACATTTATTTTTGCTGGTAAAGATCATAAGGGCATTAAAAAGAAAACACTCAGAAGATCCGAGTCTAACGCTTTATTTGGATAGCAAAGAAAGAACGAAAAAAAGGGGAGGGAAAATGGAGGAAGGGAAAGGAAAAGAAAGGGAGGGGGAGGTGAGCTCCATTTTCCCTCCAAATCTCTCCAATTTTGGAGAGATTATGGTTATTAAAGAGAGAGGGAAAATGGATCCCTCCCTCTCCTTCCCCTTTCTTTCCCCAATCTTTTACCCAAACAAGAGATTTTGTCCCCCTCCATTTCTCTTCTCTTCTTTTCCTTCCATTTCTTCCTATCCAAACAAAGTGTAAATGATACAAAAATAAAACTTAAGAGTTGAGATAGTAAGCTATTGACCTATTGTACATTAATCAGACTACAATCTAGAATGTTTACTTATATTAGGACTGACTTTACCTCATGTCAGCTGTTACAAGCCCAATCATGAAACAGTAAAAGCTTACAGAGTTGATTTCTTGACATCAATAAAGATTAAAGAAGCTCACTTTCAGACTCGGAGTAGAATTATGACTTACCTTGACATGGCTGTCAACAATGAGCATCACACTTACTTATTATAGATATATGGAAATAAAATCTGAATGCTATTGAATAGGAAACACAACACGTTAGGGTTCGTTTGACATTGTTGTGGTTTTCAGTTTTTTTGGTTTTTTGTATTTTAAAAGTGTATAATATATGTAATATAATGAATCCAAAATTAGTCAAATTTATTAAAATCATACTAATTTTGAAAACTGACAACAGAAAAATGAAAACACCTTTTTCTTGTTTCATGTTTTTGGTTTTTTGTTTTTAAAAATACTAAAAACTAAAAACAAAAAACAATGCCAAACAAGCCCAAGTTACCAATTACGAGTACCAAACATAACACTGAGAAAATCATTTGTATAAGATTTTTATTAAAGAAAAAAACAAATCTTCATTAAAAAAGTGTAATTTGTATTTTCATTTAGCCATTTCGTTTGATGACTAATTTTGTTCAATTATCGAATTAGTTATGGAGAATTTATATTTATAATTTTAATTATTCATAAGAAAGAAATTAAAAAAATTAACTACAATAAGTTATTATACCTCAACTCCTTAAAGTTGTATGTAGATGATGGTAGACGTCAGTGTATATGCAGATTCGGGATGTGGCATATGTTGGGCCAGTCTTCCCCGTCTGGTTTCCGGCATCTATCCTTGATCTCAGGGCTGCTCCATGTCATTGTAAGGGTATTGAGGGAAGTGAGGTGGCACATTTCCTCTGGCAGCGATTTGAGTTCACAGTCATGTAATTCTAGAAATTGCAGTGAGGTCAAGTACTGAATTCCCTTTGGTAGAATCACCTTGCACTTATGTAATTCCAAGGAAGTAAGAGAGTGAAGAGATTTCCATGCTGATCCCAGATTCTCCAAGCCCCTACAATACCCAATCACAAGGTTTCGAACAGAAGTGCCACAGCTTTTGAAGTCCCTCTCTAAGGGCTCCCAAATTTTCTATATCACTCAATTCGATGCGATCAACGCTTCCCACACACTCCCTAAATAGGGAATTGAAAATGTATGAGTTATTTATTCTCAACCTCTTCAATGAGATTGGAATGCTTTGAACACCGCCTCCTCCCATACAAAATGTCAGTGCTTCACTGACAAAGTATGTCAATCTGTTGCAATACGAAATTTTCAAAAAGAGGAGTTTAGAAAATGATGGAACGAAAACAACATCCTCCATCCACAATCCCTTTAATTTTTGCATCTCACGTATCTCTAACTTCTCAAGAGAGGGGAAGAATATAGCCGATGAAGATGGTGCATCATACTTTATGAACTCTACATTCTTCAACTCCTTAAGTTTAAAATATTTGAGATGACAAAGTTGACTCAGTGATGATGGGATGTATTGCAACTCATCACATCTTTCCAACTCGATGCTCATAAGCCTTGGCGTCAAACTTGGCAACATGGTACCACCATAATTCTCCACCTTCATCTCGTGAAATTGGTTACTAAATAACAGGCTCTCCAGCGCTGACTCGTGACCTTCTTTGTGACCAGAAACTAATATGCATATTAATTTTAAAGACTGTAGTGTAGCATGCATAATATCTAATTTTGAAAAATTAAGGTTGCCTGAATTATGATGAACTTTGATAAAACCTCTGAGGCTATTAAAAAGAGTCATCAACTCTATGACCTTGCCTTTTTTAATATGCCTTAGTTCATCAAAATCATACAATAAAAACAACGGTAGTGTGTGAAGATATATTAATTTATTCATCCCTGCTGGCATATAAAGCAAGCTACCACACTCATCTATGTCCAACACTCTAAGATTTACTAGTTTGTTTGTGTCATGAGACAACTCCTTTAGTTGTCTGCATTTAAATAGTTTTAACGTTTGTAGATTGTGAAGCTTGGCGATCGATTTAGGGAGCATCTCCAATTCATCATTATTTGACAGATCAAGGTACCTCAAGTGTAATAATTTATCAAATTTATCTGGTAATGTTTGAGTGATAGAAAAACTCAAGTCAAATGCCCTTAAGTGATTACAACTTGAAATAATAGCATCCACATCGCTATTTGTGAAATCACAATAACTCAAACTAGTACGCAAACTTTTACCTGGATAATTACTTGAGCGAAACCAGGTAGCCAGACCTTCATTACTATCAATTATTAGATGGTGAACTTTTTCTTCAAAAATCATTTCTACAATCTGTAAATTTTGCAGACTCTATTGCTACTTTTCTAGCAAGTTCATGTATGAGATCATGCATTTTAAATGAATAAACTTCATCAAATCCATTCCCATTAATGTCTTGGAAAAAACATCTATGCAATAGAATTGATAAATTTTTTTCACCGACATCTTCCTTGCTCTCAATTTAAGAACTTGGAACAAGATATCCTTGTGCCATCCATAGACAAATTAACTCCTCTTTTCCTAATAACATAGTCCTCGGGGAAGAGTGAGCAAAAGCTGAAGCAACTTTTTAACTCAGGAGCAAGATGATAATAGCTAAACATCAATGTTGGCATTATGTCGTCATCATCATCACATAACTTAGCCAAATCGACACTTTTGAAATAACTGCCAAGCTGCAACATCTTGATCACACAACAAACTTGCTACCACCTTTATTGAGAGCGGCACATTGACACATTTTCTCACTATTTCTTTTACCTATCTCAACTAGACCAGTGACTGCTTTCGTCTTGCCTTTCTCCAAGCGATATTTTTTTGAACAATTTCCAAGAGTCCTCTTCCGAAAGACCAGGCAACACATGAATTGGATAGTTTCCAATACATACTGCTACCTTCTTGGAGCGGCTAGTCACTAAGATCCTACTTCCCATTCCCCCTAGGATCAAGAATTTTTTCAACTCAGTCCACTTCATACAGTTCTCAGACCATACGTCATCTAAAACAAGCAAGTACCTTTCCCCTTCTATCTTATTTCGAAATTTTAGATATAAATCCTCAAATTCAAGCCCCTCCTTGCTAATCATCTTACCTAGGATATCTTCCATGCTAAAATTTTCAGACACACAAACCCAGTACATATTTTCTTTAAATGCCTCTTTGATCCTACAATCATTATATACGAGCTGTGCAAGAGTAGTTTTTCCCAGCCCCCAATCCCCACAATGGTCACAAAGAAATATTATTTTTTTCCAAGTCGTCCTTTAACAACAAATCCACAATGATCTTTTCGGTCAGCATCTCTCCCAATAATATCATGTTCAAGCACATAACAAACATGTTTTCTCTCTACTTTTGACAGGCTTATACAACTTACTAAACCCAAAATCATTATGATTTTTAGCTGCATTATCCAACTTTTCTTTAAGTTTCTTAATCCCACTTGATATTTTAGCAGTAAATATCAGTTGATTATTATCAGAGGAGAAGAAACGGCGTACCTTCTTAGAAATCTTACCACCAGGCATTCTATTCAGGCGTTGAGCAATGGTATTGAATTCATCCATCAGATCATCCGCATCATAGACAGCGTCCTTGAGGTTATCAACCCAGTTTTGGCCTTCATTTGTGAGCTCCTAACACTTGGAGTCCGCATCTACAAGGAACTTCTTGATGGTTTTGACAGTTTCGAGCAACTTCTGAAGCTCAGATTCATACTTACAGGTGGAGCATAGGCTTCTCACTTCTGCACACTGTAATGTTGCAAACACCGTTTGAGCAACAGCGAGTGCAGTAGCAACATCCCTTTTACAGTAGAGTGTTGAATAAAAAAGAGCAGAGAAATTAAAAGATGAAGCTAAGAGTTGTGGTATTCTTTAATTTTTTTTTTTTAACAGTGAGTGAATTTGCTCTATGACTGTTTAAATAACCAAAGAACCTTAGCTTTTTGGACAACATAAATGGAAAGAACCTTAAAATATAATATTTCTATTATAAAAAAGACTTATAGCAAACGCGTATCAAAAGAATCAATACTCCATGTTTGACTCAAGTGTCCAAATTTGTACTCGTATCTGTAAATAATTTGGCAGTGTTCAATTATTATATGACACTGTAATTATTATAATGACGTTGTCTTAGCAGAAGAGTAATATTGCAAATCGCAACGGGTATATCAACAAAATCAAGAAAAAACCTCACATGCATTTAAAAAAGTTATCAATAAAACATTGTCCTGTCATATTGGCTACTTAAATAGTTTAGTCATTGGTCTTTGTTAAAGAAATTTAAGGTGGGTAAAATGACTGAAATTTGGATGGTTTTAACACTTAGCTGGCTAAATTTCAGCACCTCCTTTGGATGGTTAAGATTACTACCTCATGTTTGGTAGGTAACAGATTTCTTATTCAATTTGTTTGTATTGAATCTATTGATATAAAGGTATAGCTAAGGTTGTTTCAGTATAAAAAAACATTGGCATAAGCAAAAAAGATCGTCAAGCTTTTTCAAATGAAGCTAATAAGTATGCATCATGCATATTTAATTTAATAATAATCCCTCCGTTCTTATTTACATAGAAATATGATACTCCGTAGTCCATATATCTATTACTAGTACTACGTATTAAAATGTTAAGTCATTACATGGTTGGTTGTTCAATACCGAAAGCAGACCAATATCAAAAGAATCAATCCTCAATGTTTGACACAAGTGTTGTCCAACTATGGCAATATTCAATCATACCATGCTGTTATTCACTTAAAATATTATCCCTCCGTACTTAAAAGTATGCACCACGCACAATTTACTCACTTTTTAATACTTGTATTGGTTAAATTAAAACTAAATGGGAGCTCTGGGACCATATGTCCATATGAAGAGCGATTTTCAAAACTAAGGTTAAATTAAAACTTATTCACATTATGCGTTGGAATGGAATATAATTAGCAAACATGGTAAGATTGCATAAAATTATTCAATTTTAAATAAATTCAGAGTAAATAGCAGTTTTCCCTTCAAAAAAAATAAATAAATAAATAAAAATTGAAATGATTTCCATAGCAAAATTCATCTGAATATAATGTTTTTTCAATTTAAGCAAACAAGTTAACTATTTTCAGCATACATTTTACGATTTTAAAAAAAATAATAATTAGGGTATAATACCTGAATTCCAACGAAATTGCAGGTTAACAAAAGCATGAATGGTGGTTGCACGCCGGAAGTTTGGTTGCGACAATTGGCGGCAAGCAGTGGTGCGCTGGCGTTGAAGTGATCGATTTAGAGTTGGCGTTCGGTATTACGTGACTTTACTCAGTTTTTTTTGCTTTGTGTGGAATTTAGAGATTTACAAGAACATTAACAATTGAAATTCCTACACCTAATTTTTAACTTTTATAGCAATGACTAGTTTACAGTTTGTGTAATCCATTGATAGTCAAATTCACCTTATTTTTTTTGCTTATTTAAACTTATCCAATTTAAATTGGTGTGCTCCAATCTGATATTTTATGTTTAAATCTGATATAAAGTCTAAGAGCATCTCCATGGCAAGCAATTTACCAAATTAGCTTGCCATTGCCACATAGGATTTTAAGCTACTCCATTTTCTAGCTAATTTGTGCAATAATGGTTAGCTAATTTCTTAACATTTTTTTATTCAATTAATATTTTACTTTGAAAAATTATTTTTAGAAAGTGAAATTATTGCCAAAACATTGTTTATTTACATTTACTTTTTACGGTGATATACATTAGCTAGAAAATATATTGATTGATTAAAAAAGATCAAACATATATATATATATATATATATATATATATATATATATATATATATATATATATATATATATATATAGACCAATATATACAAATTCAATATAATGTAATTAAATAACATAACAACATAAGTTAAACACTATATTATAAAATTAATAAACAAGCATATTATCCATTAAGGGATTGCCCTTCGAAACAACTCCATATATGTTCCACTAGATCCGCCTTTAATTGATGATGCATTTGTCTATCTCGAAGGGTTGCATCCCTTTCAAGAAAAGCTCGAAAATCTAAAGGGTTCCCTTGATGAACATCATCGACAATTATTGGTGTGAAATCATCCTGAGAAAAGTTTTTTGTGTATGTGTGTCTCTCATCTTCAACAATCATATTATGCAATATAACACATGCTTCCATTATATCATGGAGCCTGCGTTTATGCCAACAACGTGCAGGTCCACGAACTATCGCAAAACGAGATTAAAGTACTCCAAAAGCTCGTTCGACATCTTTCCTTGCACTCTCATGTTTTTTCTTGAATAAAAGCCTTTTGGGATCTTGGGGATGTGAGAATGATTTGACAAATGTAGCCCACTCGGGATATATACCATCAGTACGATAGTACCTGTAGACACACATTTGTGTCTCCCCAAAACCAAACCCAGTGATGAGTACCTTTCACGTCGAATCATAATCGAATGAAGCGAAAGTGTGGAAAGTCTAGTGTTGCGGAAAGTTTTAATTTCTTTTCTCTTCTCTCTGTTTTTGAAAACTTATTTTAAAAAAATAGCCAATCCAGTTTGGTTGGTCCATGATACGGGTCCAATAGTAGTGTAGTTGGATGGGGCTTGACAAGAGCTTACCAACGATATATTATAAGCCCAATTCCGATGAATATTGAGGAAGTTATGGCCAATTTACTAAACTGGGCCCGGTTCGAACTTTATATGCGGCCCAATGATCTAGGGGAGGGCCTAATATGATTTATCATTCCTAATGCAATTAGGAATGGTTTTAGTCTTTTAAATTCTTCTAGAAGGTTCTTTTCATTCCTAATTCAATTAGCGTTGATAAATTGACTTTTGTTGACTTTTCAAAGTTTTAATTAAAATCAAAAAAAAAATTTCGAGGAAAAGATACGATTTTATCCTCCAGTACGGCAAACTTATCTGATTTTCGAAAACGCGTCAAAAACAGGCCTCGCGCCTGGCGCCAACCGTTGGCGCCTGTGCTAGCCATTGGCGCCTGGCGCCAATTAGCTGGTGTTGGCGCAACCTCTGTTTTGCGTGCGCCAACCTCTTTTTTCGTGCGCCAAGTGCACTGTTTTGATATTTTATCTTTTTGGCTGATTTCTCTATAAATAACGTATTAAAACTCCGTTTTCATTAACCAATTTTCACGAATTCTCATCAACAATCAGTTTTCATTTGCAATTTTTTTCTCTAATTCTCTCTTAATTCATTCATCTTTCTTCTCTAAACTTTGTTTTCATATACAAAATTCCGCATTCGCAAGATTTAGAACCTAGCATATTCGAAGTTGCCTTTGCCCTAACCGTGAAAGGTTTAATTTCTGAGGGTTTGGTCCCAAATCTCTCTTTCAATTATTTAATTTAATTGTTTTTATTATTATTTTCCTTGAAGTTACTAATGTGTATTTTGTTATTAGAAAGAGGTACGAGGCATCAAAGTAAGTGCTTTAATGGTTTTCATTGATGTTATGATGTAAATCATGTTTATATTGTTATTATGATATTCCTAGTATCATGTCTTGGGTATTTTTTAATATTAAATATGATTGCTATGATGCCTTTTATTCTCTTCCTAATATTTATGATTGTTAGTATCATGTTAGGGCTAAAGATTTGATTTTTTGCTTAGTGATGCTAGGGTTTGTTATTAATCTTGTTAGTATCATGCCTAAGATCTTGCTATTATTATTATGCTTTAACATGATTTATGATTATTTTTATAATTGTTTTGATAATGATTATAATTTTATTATTGCTATAATTATTATTATTATGAACATGATTATTATTATGATTAATATGATTGTTATTATGATGATTATTGTTATGATTATGATTATAATTATTATTTTGATGTTGCTTGATGATATTTATTGTTATTGCTTGATCACACCTTTTATGCATGCTTAAAGGGAATTTGTACTTGTAATAACGCTTAATAAGATATTAATAATCTTGTTAGGGTTAATTTGATTATAATTTCAAGTGATCGCCAATAATAGATTTATTTGTGCATTCATATTTAAACAACATAGATAAACAGGTTTAGGGTTAATCCTATGGATTGCATGTTAATTAAAAAGCGCACATGAATACGATCAGAATAAAGTAGAGGCCTATTATTAGGGCAGGTTCAATCTCTTTTAGGTTGGATTTGTACCTTCATCCCCGAACCCTTATTTGGTTCAAGACCTTATGGAGTTGACGATCTCCTGGATCGTTAAGGGGTGTAACCTTCACCCTGTGAACGGTTTACAAGTTCCTTAAACTTGTTGGCTATTGACACGTATCAATTATGGGCCTCACTAACGGATTCCATCCAAGAATTCGTTAGGTGGTGTTTAAATCAGTTTTTGGTGTTTCTTGTGGTGTTATAATCAAAATTTATTTTTTTGTGGTGTTATGAACAAAATTTGTGTTTTTTTTGGGTATTATTTTTCTAAAATTTCCTATATTCTTTATCTTTCCTAACCGTTTGTTTGACTTGTGTTAAGA